AACAAGTACTGACCAAAGCCATGAACATCTTCCAAGATTGGCCTGAGCCTATAGTCCGTGTCCAATCCTTGTCCGAAAGCAACCTCCGAGCCATACCAAACCGCTACGTCAAGCCTCTATCTCAACGTCCAAACTTACCTTCTCACAACCCTCGCACCACCACCATCCCCATCATTGACTTAGGTGGCTTATACACAGAGGACATAACTCTACAGACCAAAACACTTGACGACATCTCGAAAGCTTGTAGAGAATGGGGATTTTTCCAAGTGGTGAACCACGGGATGAGTCCTCAGCTCATGGATCGAGCTAAAGAAACATGGAGAGAGTTCTTTCATCTTCCCATGGAGCTCAAAAATATGCATGCTAATTCGCCGAAAACTTACGAGGGATATGGAAGCCGACTAGGCGTAGAAAAAGGTGCTATTCTTGATTGGAGCGATTACTATTATCTTCATTATAGTCCTTCTTCTTTGAGGGATTATACCAAGTGGCCTTCTTTACCTCTTCATTGCCGGTATTTTTTTTTTTTTTTCAATTCAAAGCTTCTTCTTAGTTACGTAGTTTTAAATTTTTAATATTCAATATAGGCATATATATATACACGTTTATTAAGCTTCTTCTTTTGATAAATTAAACTTTATCAGGTTACTAATATTATAACTCTTATTTCAAGCTATATCAAACCTAGGAATTTGTTTGTTTGTAATAAATTCACTTTCTTGTGTAAAATAATTATCTTAGAAGACAAAATCGACGTAGTAGTACGACTTGTCAGTTGATTATTAATTCATAACGCAAGTACAAGTTAAAATACATATACGAGCTGTCGATCGACCTATCAAATTTTATTCAAGAGATAACAAATTAACTTTAAATCACAATAATTAGTTTTCTTGTTATTGAATTGTATAGAGATATATTGGAGGATTATTGCAAGGAGATGGTAAACCTATGCGAGAACTTGATGAAAATACTATCAAGAAACTTGGGATTAGAAGAGAATAAACTTCAAAATGCATTTGGTGGTAAAGAGGAATCAGGAGGATGTTTAAGGGTTAATTATTACCCAAAATGCCCTCAGCCGGAGCTGACTCTTGGCCTCTCTCCACACTCCGATCCCGGCGGATTGACCATTCTCTTGCCAGACGAACAAGTCGCCGGTCTTCAGGTTCGTGGATCCGATGATGCTTGGATCACAGTCGAACCAACTCCTCACGCTTTCATCGTTAACATTGGTGACCAAATTCAGGTGGGTATTTTATTTGGTTTATTTGTTTCCTTATTAATTTTGAATGAATTTACGCGATGAAAAAACCATATTCACTTTACTTGGTTTATTTGGTTTATTTGTTTCCTTATTAACATTGGTGACCAAATTCACTTTTAAGTTTTTTTATAAACAATAAAAAAACCATATGAAAGTTTTTTTTTTGCAAAACAAACAATAAAACAGTAAATATGTAAAACCATAAATAAATAGTTTACTTTTAAGTGATTTATAAATAAGGTGAAATTATTTAAAAGTAACATATCATCAACTAATAAAGAACGATTTATTTTTCAACTATGTGCAAATTAAATCTTTAAGCTAATGTTGATTTTGTAAATTTAAGCATGAAAAAACTAATGTTAACTAAGAAAACAGAGATATAAATGTTGATCTTTTTCAAAAAAAAAAAATGTTAATAAAGAACATATTATTTATTTAAAATATGCATATAATCTATGTTACTTATTAAAAAAAGCTTTGTATTGTTTTTTACAAATATATGGTAGAGTCATTTTGGTGTATAACTAAAAAAAAAAAAATAGTAAAAATGGGGTATGTGGCAAAATCTAGACCATTGATTTTGGAATTTTTGGTTAATTTTAAAGTTATAATTTTTTTGTTGTATTTTGAGCAAATTATCATGGCCATTTAGGGTATATATTAGTGTATATATTAGTGGCCATTTAGTGAATTAGTGTATATATTAGTGGCCATTTAGTGAATTAG